CTGGCCCTGCTCTAAAATATTCCTGGGCCAGGATTTGGCCTCAGGTTTTTCCCTGCCCCGAGGAGAAATCCTCAGCAAGGGAATTAAAATCAGAATTTGCTGCACTCACCCCCTCGGATCAAAGACAGAAAAATGCTGGGATTTCATCCTGGATCCCACTCAGCACCTCCATTTACCTCGTTATTATTACAATTTTTCCACCTATGGCCTTGGAATAATGTGTATTTATTCTATAAAAGGCTAAATAATTCCCATTTAACCCTTAAAATATTTTGGGATATGTTTGGTTTTTTTTTTCCAGTGCTGTGCCACCTTACCTGTAATTCAGACAGTTGAGGAATTGAGATTTCTGTGCCAGCCCTTGGTTCACCAAATTCAATTTATCATCCCCTGGCTGGAATTATAAATAACAATTTCCTAGAGAAAATGGCACCTGATGGTTGTTTTAGGAGCACATATTTCCTTGTCTTTTTGGAAAGATATTAATACCTAACTTTCCATGTTGATAAATAACACATCGTGATGAAATTCACTTTTTTTTTTTTTTTTCCTCCCCTTTCAGTTGCCTGTGAATGCAGCAAACTGAATTCCCTCAGGCTCGTGAAAAATAGGTCAGCAGTGTTCCAGGCTTTTTAAAGATATTTTTCCCTGGAAAGACTCACCAAGTGGAGCATGGAAAGATCCAGATTCCTAAAAAAATGACATTAAAATTCCCACCTAACTTCCCACTGCCCCTGCCAGGCACTGGAATAAGAAAAGATTGTTTGGGACCCAACTCTCAGGAAATAAATTCATATTTTCAGTTCACAGAGCGTTTCACTGCTTTTTTTTTCTTTTTTTTTCTCTTTTTTTTCCTCACCTTGGACTGAAAGCAAACATAACAACGGTAAACTTGATTTAGGGAAAAATGAGCAAATATTTAATTTTGGCTTTAAATTGGGAATAAATTTGGGGGGAAAAAAAAAAAAAAAAAAGCAGATTATTTGATGCACAGTGCCAGCAGTTGGGCTGTGTGTGGTTAATGATGCTCCTGGACCCCTCCAGACCAGCTCCAGGGGCTCCATAATTGTTTTTCTGTCAACCTATAAATTCTTGAGTAACAACAAAATTATTGTGATTTTTCTTCCTAAATAATTCATGTCTCACAAAGTACATGAGCAGGCCCATGAATCACTGAGCAGGTAACAATCCCATCTAATGGCATTGCTTCTTTTGAGGGGAAAAAAAACCCAAAAGAACCAAAAAACCAGGTTTGGCTTTGTAATCTTGTTCCAAAAAAAATCAGTTTTCTACTCTGATATTTAAACTTGAAAGTTGCCTTGATCAGAGTTTTTGTCTGAAGGATTGCTTTTAATAACATTTTCCACTTTTAATTCTGTTAGGATTATTAATATCACTACAAGCAATAAATTGGTTTTATAATGAACCACAGCAGGCTCATAAACTGTGCCTCAAGTGATGCAATTTCTTTCAAAATCCCTCTGAAGTTGTGTTCTGCTTTTTTAGGCCTTAAACGCAAAACTTTTTGTTTTCTAGAAAGAAATCTTTTAAGCAAACTTGCAATAAATCAGTGGCAATTTTTATTCTATATTCTGCAATGCTGAAGCTGCCACTTTTTCTTAGAGGTGTATTTAAAGTGAAAAACGCAGCCCAAAATTTCAACCACCACTTCTATTTCCAGAAATAGGCAAAGGAATCAAGAAAACTCTCCCAATTATTCCCTCACTTTCCTGCAGTGAACACGATGAAGGGGTTACAACAAAAGCCAACATAAATTAAATAAAATATTAAATAATACATGAAATAAAAATCCCCTTTCGTTTCAGGAAAAGTTGCTCTAAACCAGAGGCCTAAGGGCGCTCAAGTATTAAAAAAAATCCCTAAATTTCATTGGATAATAATAACAGACATCAAGGAGATCTATAATTATGATTTGTGAGAAGATTTAGGTCGGCACACGAGGTAAAGTGAGGACAGGTTTAAATCGTGCCCAAGTCAATGGAAGGTCAGCAGGAGAAAAGCTCTGGATTTTGCTCCAGGGAAAGAGAGGGGAGCAGGAAAAGATGACAAAAAACGACTTTTCACACAATATGAGAATAAATATTTAGGGGGTTCCCATCCAGTCTTTAAATCCGGAATTAATTCACAACGGGGGGGAAAAAAAGTGAAAAACTTTGTGTTGAACCGGGCCCACCTGCAAATGGTGATAAAAAAGTGATATTAAATCTAAAAATATTTCAAGAAAACGAATTGCCAGGACCAAGTTTACATCACCAGCCCCAAAAATTCAGGAAAACGAACAAACCTACCAATATTTAAGCAAAATTGGGAGGAGGCAGCAGCAGAAAAAGACATTTCTGGGGTGACTCATTAGCACCACGGCCTCTCTGCTGCAACGTTTATCAAGCACACAAAAAGGTCTAGAAGTGAAATATAGTAATTAAGGGCAGGATTTTATCGATTGCGTGGCTTAAGTAATTTTTTTTTTTTTTTTTTTCAAGCAGACGTGTAAGATTTAATAAGTGCAAGCAGTTAAAGATCCTGCCCTGGCTGTGCCATTAGGGTGTAATTGAAGTGGTAAAAAAGATCAGGCGAACGTGTGTTGATTACCACCTTATCTTTGAAAGGCAATTAAACACCTCAATCATTGCAACGAGATTTGATTGTGCTGCCTTTATTGGGCATTGATCTTTCAGCACAGCAGCTGCATTTCCCATTAATTTCCAGTAGCAGAGTTTAACTGGGACACCCGAGCCCGCTGACCCGGCCGGGGGGTGACACCGGCTTCAGGTCTCTCCGAAATTATAAATATTTCAAGAGGTTCTACAAGGAAAAGGCACCCGATCCTCGGGGTTTTGTTTCTCTGGAGTAGTTAAGGGAGATGAAACAAAAGCTCAGCTCTTCCCCCTCGTTTAAACATCAGAGAAGAGATCACGAAGTTGAGGATTTCAAAACGGGAGGTGGGGAAAATCAAATGTCTCCAAAGTCAGAGGGGTCGGGTTTTTTGTAAATTAATTATTCCTGAGCGCTGCAGAAATTTTTGAGACGTGGTACAAACCTTCCTGGCTCTCAGTATCTCGCATCCAGGCCAGGGTGATAAAAACCAGATGCTAAGGAGTTGGAATTGACGGCAGGAGTGAAAGCCAGAGGAAACTTGTTTGAAAACGAGTAACTGGGTCCGTGTCCATACGTGAAAATGATTTAATCACGATTTAACAACTCAAATTATCCCTTCAAAGAGCTCCTTGTCCCTCTGAAGAGCCGCCACCCAAGGCTCAAGGAGAGGAACGAGCCATCCCATATTTGCCCTCTGCCCTCGGAACGTCTCCCAAGTTCATCCTTTAGCACCATCAACTTGAGCAGAGCAAGAGGTCCATTGATTTTCATGTAATACAAGAAAATATTACATTTGCTTAATTGTTACACGGCGAGCTCATCGAACGGGGGGTGGCAGCAGCAGGAGCCGCACAATCGATAGCGCCGTTTGTCACCGGGGTCCTCCAAGGAGCCCTGCCCAGCACCGGCTGCTGCTGCTGCTGCATTTATTGGAAAACAGGTAAGCAAAGTCAGCAGCGCCCATTATCAGAAATCAAACGAGCTGCAGCTCCACTCAAGAGCTGTATTTATGGGCTGGTAATTAAAAACCGTTTTATCAAGCTCGCGTTGAGGCTAAACCTTTGCAGGCAGGTATTGATGAGCTGCTGTGGCAATGAATGAGCAGTGGTTGACTTTAAACTTATGAGCTGCAGTGGAAATCAGCTCCAGGAAAATGTTAAGTGCAATTTTTCTTATTAATGAGGGTGCTTGTGATGCCATCTCTTCATCTTGGAGACATTTCACTTGTGGCAAGAATATTCTCCAAAATTTAACAGTGCAAGCAGTTCTCTGATTAAAGTGTTTAGTGCTGCTTTTAGAAAAGCCACATGTGCTGCTTCATTAAGTGAGAAACACTTCTATTATCTGGAATTAAGTTCAAAAGTATTTAAATAACATTAGACTGGAGTCATAGCTTGATAATCATTTATTTGAGGAAAAGTGATTACCCTTCAAACCAGCCCCTCCCCATTTTACATTTGTTTTTTGACTGATGAAAACTGGAATGGCCAAATTCCATCTCCAGCTGTGGGATTTGGAACTGCTGGCACTAAATCCCAGCACCAGCCAGAGATCCTGCACAGGTCCTCCTGTTCCCATTAATTCCAGATTTCCACTATCCAAATAGTTCCCCAAAAGGTTTTTTTTTTTTTTTTTTTTGCCCAGGTTTCCAACTGATAAAAAGTCATTTTCTATGTGCATGAAGTTGTGCTTGGTGACAGGTGCAGAAATCAGTTATTCTGCATCCAAAAAACTGAGATATTCTTGTAGTATTCTTCTCGTTGTCCTCATTAATTAAAAATACCAGCAATTTGTGAATTAGCACAGGGGACTGTATCTTCTACATCACTCTTGTACTTACCTGTAAAGCAATCAAAAGAAAAAGAACCACACACATCTGGAGCTCGAGAATTGCAAAAGACAAAAGCATCAAATATATTTTGGATATTTTATTTAAATACCATTTCAAGAAATGCCATACAGCCATTTTGCACTTTTTTTTAGGGTGGGTTTGTTTTTTTTTTCCCCCCCAAAGGCTCTTCCAGGTGACTGTGAGAGCTCAGATTAATTCACAGTTCCAGCACTGGCAGTTAATTCATTATGAAATACCCAGGCAGGATCTACACCTGAGCAGCTTTATCTTTTCAGGGACATTCTGAAATGTTTCCTTGCCCACAGGCAACCATTCAGTTCTCTCAGCTGATAAATTCATCTCTTTAAACCATCACAAGTTTGTCCAGCACCACCAGTCCCTGACTTCCTGCCTTACCCTCAGAAATTCTAATCCTTCAGCTTCACAGAACTCTGCAAAAATCAATCTCTCACAACCAAAAAGTGCACGCAGCTCCCTAAACCGGCACACACGGTGCAAAAACCCGATTTTTTTTTTTTTTTAGCTGTTTTTAGTCAAAGGCAGCAGAGGACAGGAGCCGAGCTCAGTACATGGCTCCTTCATCTTCTTTATTGAGAAAATAAACAGTGACTGGGCCGTGGCTGGTGTGAACAGTCTCTGTGACACGGGCAAAGAACCACGAGCCCATTCCATACAGCAACGTGGGCATGCCTGAGGAGAGAGAAAAAACCATTTACACACACACACAGAGCCAGGGAAACACAAACTGCAAATCCAGACGAGTCCAAAGCGAAATCAGAGGGAAAACGTTCCTGCAAAAGCTGCCTTGGATGGATTTTGTCTTTATTGAAGTGCAGCAAGGAGTGTTTAACACCTTTCCTGTTGGCACAAGGCAGGAAGCAGCAATTATTGAGAAAAAGAAAGCAGGAGGAGAACAGCACGAAAGAAATGAAACGTTGCCATGTACACGTCATTTCTACCGATTAAAAAATTAAAAATATATCTATTTCTATCTCCAAATATTAAACCCAAACTCCCTCAACATCCACTCAAAGTTATTGGAGTCTATGTCAGAGAAATTTAAAAAATAGGCAGGGAATTCATAGATGAAAATGAAGTGGGGAAAATCAGATCAGCAGTCAAAACTATCAATTCCAACGGGGCAAAAAGTTTATATATATATATCTATATCTGTATATCTATATTTAAAGTAACACGTTTTAGCCCTGCCAATTTATCCATCTATTACAGACAATATTCTATTTATTACAGAGGGAAAACCAGAGGTGGATTCAGGCCCTGAACTCAGAAACACCAAATTTAACATGCTGGAAGCTAAGTGCTTAAAAGTAGGGTTCTGGGGGAAATAAATTGGCTTTTAAATCATGTTTTCCAATCATTTAAATATGAAACATGAAGAGTAGGTGTGAGAAAAACAAAGGTGTGACTGGGTGGAGAGAAAATCAGATTTTAAAGGTACTATTAAGAAATAAATCTTTTGTGATTGTATTTTCTCACTGTGTCATTCTGGAAAGATCAGAAAATTAAGAGCAGCACACAAGTTTTGAAAAAAAAAAGTCACTGAAGACTTGTGAAGAAAAGGAAATTCAAACAATCAAATATGAAAATAAAGAATGTATGAAATATTACGGCACTGTCATTGCTGGCATTCAAATAAGCTTTGGATCTGCAGCCAAAATTTTGAAATAATTACTTCAAAACTTAACTTTATCTACTTTTTTACTAATAAAGTACTGATAAAGCGTTTTTATTATAAGGATTTCTATCCCAGCAGCCTGGCCATTCCTGCATCAGCCACTGCTGAAACAGAGTTTCACTTCAGAACTGCTCAGAGGACAAAAGTTCATCCAGGGCGCCCGGATTTCCTGCTGCAAAATCCCAAATTAAAGGCGTGAGCAGCTTAAATCCCAAGTGTGTGCTGAGTGCCTGTCACAGCATCCCTGCCAGGAACCTTTTACAGCTCGGGAATTCCTGAGCTGGGCAAAAAGAGAGAGGGGGAAAGGAGAGAACGAGAAGGGGAAAGAGAAATAGAGGTGGAAAGGAGAGAAATAGAGGGAGAAAGAGAAAGAGAAAAAGAGAGGGGGAAGAGAGGGGAAAGGAGAGAAAAGGAGAGGAAAGGGAAGAGAGGAGGAAAGAGAAATAGAAGAGAAAGGAGAGAAAGAGAGGTGGAAAGGAGCGAAAGAAAGGGGGAAAGAGAAAGAGAAGGAGAAAGAGAAAGAGAAAGAGAAAGAGAAAGAGAAAGAGAAAGAGAAAGAGAAAGAGAAAGAGAAAGAGAAAGAGAAAGAAAGAGGGGTGAAGAGGGGAAAGGAGAGAGAGGAGGAAAGAGTGAAACAGAAGGAAAAGGAGAGAAAGAGGGGGGAAGAGAAAGAGAGAAAGAGAGGGGAAAGAGAGAAAGAGGGGAAAAGAGAGAGAGGGAGGAGAGAAAGAGAGGAACAGGAGGAAAGGAGGAGAAGGTGAGGAGGAAAGGGAACGAAAAGGAGACAGAGAGGGCTCGGAGCGGAGCTGCGGGCCCCGGGCCTCGCCGCCCCTCAGGCTGCCCCTCAGGCCGGACTCACCGGCGTTGAGCACCTTGAGGGCGGTGAAGAAGGCGTCCTGCAGCGCCAGGTCCTGCGGGGCAGCACGGGAGCAGTGGTACTTGATGAAGGGGAAGCAGCCGGTGCGCAGGACCAGGTAATTGGCGCCGTCCACGGGCCAGTTGAAGTACGAGAGGCCGAACTGGTCGTTGAGCACCGCGCTGTACTTGACGCAGAACGAGGTCCAGTGGGGCAGGCGGCGCTGCCGCAGGTGCTGGCTCAGCACCTCGGAGGCGGCGGGACGGGCCGGGCCCGGGCCCCGCCACAGCAGCAGCGCCACGGCCGCGCCGTGCAGCCCCCTCAGCACGGCCCGCAGCCGCCACAGCACGGCCCGCATCCCCCGGGGAACCGCCACCGCACCGCGCCTGCGCCAACCGGGGGCGGGAACCCAGGG